AGATGCTGGTCAAGTTTCTACGATGTTGTCTCAAAACGTGGCATAGAAAATACAATACAGATCTAAAGAGGCATTAACGCGACTGAATTTATATTCATAATGTTAAAAGACCTGTAACTCGGTGGTCCACGATCGTAGAAACTTGGCCAGCACCTCATCTTATGGAGAACTGAAGGGGCTATCTAATGATATGATTGAAAAGCTTCTGAGAGAAACTTTGAGATCACTAGGTTTTCTAGAAAACCGGATTTTTCAGAAATCTCTATCTCAAGATTCCGAGGTGTGGCATAACTTTTCTCCATCGAAATATATAGAATTCGACGCGCTCTTTCATTTGATACCAACTTCGGGGTTCTACGTTAGAGAATGCGGTCAGCAGACGTTCTGCAAGTTAGACCAAATCCGCCGGAAAATGACGAAAATGCATTTTTCTGCTGCGCGGGTAAAATGGCTATAGCTCTGCTTCTAACAAGGCTAGAGACTTGCGGTCTTCACCATTCGGTTCAGCTTGCTGAGCTCTATAATATGAGGTAGGTCTCGTCACTGACGTCAAAGGTCGATGTAAATGGTGGTCGGTTTTATATGGATTTAGCCTATCCGTCGAAGCCGAAAATATCACTCTCCAGTAGTATTTCTAGTGTTAGGACACCAACGCCCCATTTGTTTTCAATATTATACATATCATTTTGTAGCTCGTGAAATTCTCTATCGAATGATATATAAAGTGGCGTGGTTAACGATAAACTGGTTGGACAATATAAGCGATAAACGCTGTTGACCTATGGATTTATGGAGGTGGGGCCTAGTATTTCTAGTGTTAGAACACCAACGCCCCATTTGTTTCCAATATTATATATATCATTTTGTAGCTCGTGAAATTCTCTATCGAATGATGTACAGTAGTTGAGGTTTGCTTTGGGCAAAGAGAAGAAATGGGGAAAATATTCTAAATAAAATTCATTTAAGGGGTGAAAAGTTTGGATGCGGAATTTTTTCCAGGAGGGCTGAAAATGGGTTTTTTGAGATGCTAGTTTTAATCACGAAGAAAAACTACATCAGACTTGTGAATATGAGCTTGATCTGAGAGGGGGCCGATTTTGCCTCTTATCGACCTCCGTCCTTTATGCTGCGACCATGAATACAACACTACTCTGATCTCAGTCCCAAAGTTTCAGCCATGGGTTCCACTGTCCCAGGCCATCAGGTCTCAAACGTTTTTACACTGGATTTCCTCACAAAAAACCTTAGTATCGCCGACGGGACATCCACTACCTTCCCACACACCGAAGCCATTTTTTTATTCAAGATAGAGCTCGGTTCGGGCTACAAAACGATGCGAAATATGTGGAGAAATATGCTGCCTTGGACCTCATTTCATTTCCGCACTGTTAAAATCCAGTAGGAAATCCTTCAGTTTGACCCTTAGGGATACATTATCTCCGTTGTCTTTCGTGACACCGGAGCGATTTTTTTATTCAAGATAGAGCTCGGTTCGGGCTACAAAACGATGCCAAATATGTGGAGAAATATGCTGCCTTGGACCTCATTTCATTTCCACACTGTCAAAATCCCGTGGTAAATGCTTGAGTTTGACCCTTAGGCATACATTATCTCCGTTATCTTTCATGACACCGAAGCGATTTTTTCATAATAGAGAGAGCTCCGTTCAGGCTACAAAACCATGTCAAAATTCGTGAAGAAATATGCTGCCATGCACCTCATTTCAAGTGTACACTGTGAAAATAATTTCGGAAGTTGGCTCGACCATAACTCTTCACAGTCACACTTACAGGACCAAGTTCCGTCACAAAAAATGCTCAGCTCGCCGAGTTCTTCCACCCTATATAAAATATTTAAGTAGTTGAGGTTTCCAATTAAAATTTTTTATAGGGCCGATTCACCTATCAATCATCCCCGTCCTTTTTGTATCGATTTGTATCTTTCTAACTTGGGCTCAAACTTCTGTTAAGATGCGAAGAATCGAATGCTGTTCAATCGAAATGATTTGATTTTTAAAAGTTTCATGTCGCGACTCAATAAAAAGTGATTTTTAAATTACCATCAGCTCTACAAGTAGAGCTAACAATCCTCTATCTTGTGCCGTTCTACACATGAAAAATTAGGTGAAAATGGCAATAGAGTAAACGTTTCCGGGAAGCCCCGTTTCCTTCCACCCTCGAAAATTCGAGATGAACTAACTTGAGTAGGGTTGATCGAAAAATACTGAAACTTGGGTTCTAGAGGTTTCTCGGGATGCTCTATTGATTGAACGGAGTAAGAGCGAAAACGAATTTTTGACCATGTTATGTGTGTGTACACCAATACTTGTTCGCTAGATGGGCTCGCGGATCCTCTCTTATAAATGAAGAAAATCGGCTTACCCGCATAGGAGAAAGAGTCCGTACGTCTCAAGGAGTATGCCAGTGAGCGGATAGCTGAAAAGGAGTAGAAATGCAATACCGCTAAAGAAAAAAATCGTTCCTTTCAGTTCCACAGGCTGAAAAACGAAGTGGAAAGTGTGCTGAAATCCGATCATCAAACACACGGCGAGCAAGAAGAAAATCTGTATCAGAAGAAGAAGAAAATAGAATAGAAGGGACTTCGATATCCGCTTATAAACTTACATTGCTGACAGCGATCATACTTTTATCGAAAAGAAATGTCATGCTAAGAAAAGTGAGAGCAACACCAAAGATCGACAGGCCAAGGCTAATCTCTGAAAAAAAGATACCGATTATGAAGTATAAAGCATATTGCAAAAGGAAAAGACTATTTGATTTACTTTGAAGATCTGTCGAATGATTGGGCATTTTGTGAAGACAATAATCTTTGCGCTGATAAGTATCAAATCATAGTACGAGTTTTGTAAGCGCTTCCGAGCGTCACAATAAAGCACAGTTTAAAAAAAATAGTACGAGTTTACCCTGAAAGTTTCAGGTCTCTAAACGACCCGAGGCAAAAGTCGATAGTTTTGTAATGATCAGGACGTGATCGTCTAAATTACCTGACGGAGCACGCTATTCACGAGTAATGTAAAATGAAAAATGTACTGACGTGCTCGTTTGTATCACTGTGTTGAAAGTGTTGGTTTTTTCCAAGTAATTATGCAACAACAAATTCTTTCTCTTCGTTGCATCATAATATACGATCGACATTTTTTTTTCAGCATTTATTTATCGACATTTTTTCCATCGGCATTTTTTCGTTCTGCCAAATCAATACCGTTCATCAATGGCAATGAAAGCAATCAATCGTCATCAATCGCAATCAAGTAGGAATTACTCAAATCATGTTGATCATTGAAGCTATTGAATTGTTCTAGATGAATACATATTCTGTTGGTGGGAAGAAAGAAGCTTCGTAGGCGGTTTCCAGGTCAAGTTGGGTGGTTTAGTGTAGTGTGCACCTCGAATCTCGACTGTGATAATGAAATGGTAGCACACCCTCAATATGGACAACCTGACAGATGAATGCGTGTTTTTGATTCTCTGGGAGTCGATTCGTGCAAATAGAGTTGATTGAGTACTATTGCTTTACGTTTTCACGAACGTTGAATAGAGATCGAGTTGGTCTTGAGAGGGCTGTCCAAGAACTGAGAAATGGGAATTCCTAACTATATGAGGAACTATCACCAAATACACAATAATTACCCGGTTTACCGAGGAACGGTTCGTCGATTCTAGTCGATTCCCCGATCATTCCTACATTTCCAGACCGAACTCCCAGAATCATCCATTCAACATTCCACCCACGACTCTCATACACATCTTTAAGAAAACTCTAGCAACGGATCATCTACTCATTGCGGGCTCACACAAATCAATTGGGAGTGTCTATCTGGAGAAGGGCGAATATGTGGAAGCACTAGAACACTTCTCAGCCGCTCTCGAAATCTCACATAAGACCTTATCCGACAATCATCCGACAGCAGCGGAATGCTACCACTATATGGGCATGGTCTTTGAACGACAAGGCTATTATCAAAAGACAATGGAGCACTATTGCACTATTGAACGATAATGAATAGTGTGAAAGACTGTTGAAAACTAAATTATAGAAGAGTGAACTATTCCGTGATACGCGCCATGATTTGCCGTATTCGTATAGAATAGGGTGAAGTGAATCGGCATCCGATGAACGTTACTTGTTCATGTTCTTCTCGCTTGGAATGTTAATCTATAAGCGCTTGAGATTTTTGATTAACGAATCCACAATCGAACATGATAAATAGCACGGATTCTCTGGTGGTAGTACATGTGGATGGCAACCGGTGACACAACCATGTGACAAGCTTATCCTCTACTACAGATGAGTCTTCGTCCCACGTTTCTTCATCATCTCGGCATCGAACATTCAATGCGCGAAGATTAATCATTGTATTGACGAGATCAGTTATACATGTTCGCTTTTTTGTAATAATTAATAAGAAAATAACTTATATTTATTAAAGTTCTCTATACTTCTCTCGACCACAAATAAACAATTTTACCGAGTTCAATTAAAATTAATCAATGTATAATTAAAGTACATTTAATCATACTGTTTTCCACAAAATGTTCTCATCTAACGTAAAACAACCTCCGGACAGGAGCATGGAGGAGGAGGATGAAAATCATTTTACAGATGGAAGATCAGAAACAAGCGTGGAACAAACGTCGTCATCATTAGCTGGTAAAAAGAGAGATGCAAGGGCTTTAGAATTCCAAATTCCAAACTTTAGTTTTAATGTAAATTCACTGTTCCCTAACAATACAAAAAACGACCAAAATCAGGACGGATTTACGGCTGTGAAAAAAGCAAAACGTGGCAAAAAACCAGACAGTAACTTAAACACTACGATGGCCAACTCTTCAGCTGTTGCAACACATACACCATCCTCAGTTCATTCCTATTTTACGTTCGGTGTACCAAATAAACAGACAACGATGCCACTACCTTCGAAACCTTCAACAAGAACATTTCATAATTCAAAATTTAATAATAAAACAAGCCGTCCTCAGTTTGACACGAAGAATAGAAATCCAAACTCTTCACAAAAATGTTTATTTCCTCCAATCAAAATTAAGTTTGAAAATACAGTAAAACCTTCAGAACCAAAAGTTCTAAATGAAATTATCAAATTTAATACCAGACTAAATATAAATTTTATTCGATATTCTACATTACCGAATCATGCAAATGAATTACTGATATTCGCCAATAATGCCGACACATATCAACAATTACTTACAGATGGAAGTCTCCCAAAACAAATTAGTGGTTCATCATTCACAATTACTCTTCCAAATCGAATCCCCACTTGTCAATCAATTATCATGACTGGTGTACCAGCAACATGGGATACAACAGAAATGCATGAATTGCTTGCCGTACGCTATCAATCCGTAGCACAAACAACACGTATCTATAATAATAATGGTGAATCTACAACAAGAGTTCGTGTTGATTTAAGACAATATTCTGAAGTTGAACGAATTTTAAAAGATCAACATATTTATATGAATTCCGTTAGCTGTCCGGCAAAACCTTATTCACCGCTACTTCATTTGCAACGTTGTTTTCAATGTCAACAATTTGGGCACACATCTTCTACATGTACAAACAGTCATAAATGTTTCAAATGTGCAGGTGACCACTCATACAATAAAGATTGCAAAAAACCAATAAAATGTGCTAATTGTGGAGCAGCACATATGGCTGGATCTCCTCAATGTCAGCATAAAATTAATCATCGAAAAAGTCTGCTAGCAGAGAAACAAACACAACACTCACACTTTTCGCCTGTTGCCGCTACTTCCTATGCTACTAAACCTAATCTATGGTTTTCATCACCAGCAACACTTTTTTCATCCGTATTAACCGCAACAGCTAAAGTAAATGAAACAGCAGCATCAGTTGCAAAAGCTAAGCAAGGATCACAACCACAATCATCTTCCAAAGACGACAGTAATTTTCAAACAACAACAATAATAAATTCTATACAAGAAGCTATACATAAATCTCAGACTATCTTAATGGACAAAATAACCAAAGTAGAGTTTACCCAAGAATTAACATTAGGAGTACAACATGATTTACAAATGCAAATAAATCAAACTGTTTCACCCCAAATCCAAACACTAACAACTCTACTAACATCGGTATGCGAAAAATTAGGTAAAGCAAATTTAGTATCAATAGAGGAAGAACAAAACACATTGAAACAACTTGTACAACAACAATCAATTGTCAAAACTTATTCTATAACCAACACACCTCAAGCACAGGAACTTTCAGCATTAAATCAATCAACAACACCATCCCAACTGTCCTTAGCCTTTAATCCTCGTATACAATCTATCGAAATGCATACTCATAACACTACAAGTGGTACAAATAACGAATCTATCAACAAGTTTAACCAAACTTTCTCCAATGTCACCCCAAATAAACATAACAAACCGGAATGGACCCTCTAGCACAAGATTTTATTCCTTCTACAAGTGATGACAATTCACATTACAAAGAGGAAGAAGAGAGGTTAATTTCATACTTAGAAACGTGCCATCAACAACAGACATGTACAAATATATTCAACGAATGGTCAACAGCGACTACTTTATCATCATTAATTGATCAATGGGATAAAACTAATATAACATCACAAACGAGGCCACCAAATATGCCATTTTCATTATTGTTATATAATGTCAGTAGCTTGTTACTCCATTTAGAAGATATAATCCATTACATAGGCACATATTATCCGACAGTATTTGTTTTAAATGGTTTACATTTTGATAATAAGGCCAATTATCAATTAAGCTCATTTTTTAAATCAAGATACACTATTTATTTCCAAAACGGCACAGTACACTTGAACAGTAAAAAATATACGATTTGCACGAATTATTCACCAAATGCTGAACGACTACCTATAGAAACATTTAATGAGATTTACCGTTACAATAAAAATCTAATTCTATGCGGCGATTTCAATTCAAGAAACAAGGTATGGAAAGATACGTACACGAATACCAAAGGACGAACACTAGAAGAATGGCTCGACGCACACGATTCATTAAAATTATTTAACAATGGATCACCAACATCTACCCGATCGAAAGCTATAATAGATTTGATCATTGCACCTGTCACGTTTCAACATGTTTTGCTATACCCGATGATACATTGAAAGTTTCTGATCATTATCCTGTTGAATGGATACTAACTTCATTAGGCTAAACCACAATAATGAATACATTGTTAAATAGACCGACTGGCAATTAATACAAATAATCTTAGAACATAAATAAGCATTTTGGTTCAATCTCAGTAATTTAATGAAGGATGAACCTACAGAATTTATCATTTTGTACGAAAAATTCCTTGTATCCTTACAGGAACGTTGTACCTCCTATCATAGAACAAGTAAGTACAGACCATCATTACCACCATATTTAATACAAGCATTAAAGCATCGACGAAATATTGTTCATCTTTATCAATCCATAAAATCACCAGACACAAAACAGTTACTACAACAAATGAATAGGTTCATCAAACATGAAGTGAAAATGATTAAAAGAGCGCAATGGCAAAAGTTTTGTTTAGCACTAGAACCTAAAAATACATATAAATTCTGGAACTGTACTAAACGTCTATTTAGAAAACGAACACCACCTATAAAAGGATTTCTCACTGATAATCAACAAATTATAACCGAAGCAAATACTATGGTAAACCATGCACATAAACATTATTCTAATTCGTTTAAAAGACATGCCGATGACGATATTGAAATTTCAACATTTTATCAAAATTTACACCAAGAGGTGGATGATTTGCCTTCAAAACCATTTTTATTTAAAATGCCCGACCTCGTTCAATCAATTCAAACGTTAAAATCAAAAACATCATCAGGGCATGAAAAAATATCGAACAAATTAATTAAGCTACTTCCTCGTTCACATTATAGTTTTATATTAATTACATTCAACAGATTATTGGTTAAAAATGAATTTCCTGATCCTTGGAAAAAAGCTAAAATGATCTTACTGCCGAAAGATAAAACAAGATTAACAGACATTAACAACACTAGGCCAATTAGCCTTCTACCATGTTTAGGAAAACTGTATGAAAAATGTTTCCTGATCTATCTAAGA